CCCCCCCCCCCCCCACCCTACAAAAGGTAGGCAAACAAGACTGACTTGCGTTGCAACAGAAAATTGTCCATCTAGGCTTAGCTACCTCGTTCCCTCATCAGCTCTTCGTTAGATCTCACTAGTTCTCCTATAGTTTCCTGGTACCCATATCTACTCCAAGGGGCGGGTGGGGGTGAAGATCTTTTTGAGAGTACCTTCCCATGTTTGTTCTCTAACACATCGTTAGGCATCACTGAGAGATACTGAGACTACCTAATATAAGAGAAATCGTCATATTTTTTAGAACTGTGATGTCTCCTAATATGAAATAATGGAAATTTTGCTTTGTAGAAACAAAGAAGGAAGAAACAGCTGAAGCTGAAAAGAAACCACGCACTGAAGAAGCCTGGCACAAAGAGTTACGGTCTGCTTATTTGCAGCTATACGTGCAGTACATGCAGTCTCTGCAATTTATTGTGGTGCAAAGCAGGCCGCAATCACCAAAGCAGTCCAGGAGGTAACACAGAGATGCACAAATCTTAACTCACAAACCAGTACTGTCTCATGCAAAACTGCAACAGGAAATATTTTTCTTTGAATGGATTCGCTATAAATTTTCATCCGCAGACCTTAAAAATGTACCTTTTTTATGCAACTTAATAAACAGTACCACATGACCTTTCGCTTACACTGGATTGGTCGCACCCCTTGGGGTCCTCCACAAACTTAAACGTAGCACCACCTTGTAGAATGTTGTGAACGACAGAACTGTTCCATAACGTTCTTTGGAAGAGCCATACAAAGTAACTTCATACACTGAGTTGGCACCAAGAATATCAACAGAGTTTTATCTATTTTGCCTCATAACATGAAAAAAATGACAGAGATTACAGTTATTTACATAATTCACAATAAAAGTTCAATAATGTTGGGAATTTAGAGGGATGTGGGGAGAAAGCCCAATATAGGCTGGCATTTTTTTTTCGATATTAATACGAAACATCACGGTTCCATTTAATACCACATGAACATACCGCTAACGAATGTTTATCAACGGATGTGAAGAGCATAAATCTTTACCTTTCAGGCATCTTGGTCGCGGAGCTGTTAACACTAAACCGAAAAGAGAAAGTAGCCCAGCCGACGTTAAGAAGCAATCCTCAACTAAAGACAGGAAAGACAGTTCACCAAAAACTCTGCAGCGTTACCTACAGAAAACTTCTCCAGGAGGAATAATGCTGATGGAATTAGTGTTTCAGGTTGGTTTGCATACAGGGTAAATTTACAATCTGTGTGGAAGACTGGCTGCTGTAGTTCATCTTGATATTGTAGTAGGAGGTTACAAGGAGTATTGTTACATCTCCTGAATGGGATGCTTATCTATCACAGGTTACCCTTGGAATAACCCCCTGTCGGTGCTTATCTTGCGTTTCATAACATGAAGAAACAAGGGGAATTGTTGCAACTTCCAGATGGGATGTTACTCCATCAGGGGGAAAAACCCTGAGATAACCCTGGTCGTCACCTATCTGGTATTTTATATCTTGAAAAGACAAGGATTATTGTTGCAACTTCCGATTGGGATGTTACTCCATCAGAGGAAAAAACCCCATGGGATAATCCCGGTCGTTACTTATCTTGGATTACCCCAAATTTTATAAGGTGAAGTGACTAAGAGTATTGTTATTCTTCCTTGATGGGATTTGACTCCATTGCTACACTAAACATGGCAAAATCTAATCAAAACTGAAGGTATTGTATCAGAGGGAAGCCATGCATTTCATTCTTAAATTGTTTTGCTTTACTAGGGCTGCTTCTTTATCGTTCGACTTTATGCGTTGGGATGTTCTCAGATTCCTTCAGGAAAATCAGCTTCTGTGCAGGTGAGTACGTTTACGGGACTATTGAGTCGTTATACCCTGAAATGTTAAGGTCAAATCTGCTGCCTAACTAAGGTCCTCAACGCCGGACCTTACCACAGCTTCTGTACCATGAGGTAAATAGGCATTTTCCCCCCTCCCCTTCACTGTGTGGATAGATGCAATGCTAATCCATCGAAAATTAGAGCAGAACAAAAGTAATTCTTAAAACAATTTAACTTGTTCAACATCTTCATATCGATTTTTCCCCACATTTTCTTTTTGCACAGATCTGTCGTATGTTTGTGGAAGACTGCAATCGTTACAGAGAATATATTCATCTTCTCTCGTTCAACTATGACTTTCACCTGTGCAAAGCGCAATTTTACTTGAAAGGAAGCCAGATAATTTTTAACAAAGGCTATGGAGTCACACACATGCTAAAGGGATTGTTGCAAGAGTACGTGAACAGCCCTGTGTTCGCAAGGAACCGCCTTGGTTATGGTAAAGCATTAATTTCTTTTTCATTTTAACTGGTAACACCCCAAAGCCTTGTTGGTTGGTTTCGTCACGCAACACGTTGCCTGTTGCGTGACAAGACCAATCAAGGAGTTGCTCTTTTGAACCCTTTCACTTTAGAGAGTGACCAGTACTGAAGCGTTTTGCTTCTAGGGGTGACCAATATGTAATTTCTCCTTAGCGATCCATTGCCGAGCAGAGAGGTGATAAGAAAAAAGAGAAATAACAGCCAGAGGGGATATTGCTTGATGTAATTGAATTTATATTGAAAGCTTGAAAGTAGAAGAGTTGAAGTTAATATGACTTCCAACACTCTGGCAATGAGAATATTAAAAACACGACAATTTAACAAGTGGATAGTGTTTGGATAGAACACCAGTTCTTTAGGATAATACAAAACATAAATTTATCGCAGTTAGAAGTTATCCGAAACTCTTATGAGAGAAGCCTCACCCTCAAGTTTGGCAATAGCGACGAATAGATTCCTTCCTAGAAGAAAGAATTTGAAGCCATCATGTTTTACTTGAGTGTCGAATTTAAGCTGAAGAAGAAATTGCTGTATATCTAGTGCATGAATTATAAGAGTTTCGAATACAACGTAGCCGAAAGAGAGATCACATTTCACGATTGAATTACGATTGAAGGAAAATTACGTCTCCAGATACGGTTCACATGATCCCACTTAGTAGCAAAATGCGCTCAATCGATTGACAAACTGGATATGTGTCATACTTACAAATCTTTTTTAGGTGAAATTTCAGTGCCGTTGCACCCGGGAATCACACCCCAAATTGTGTTTAACTACCTGGTGAAAAAGGCTTCGTTTTACGAGTTTCACACGCTACCTGAGCAAACAACGAATGCCTCAAGCTCCGAAACCAACCGAGTTCTTACGCACATTCTCCGAGAGTATGGTGATTATGACGTTAGCTTCGTTTTGTCGCTGAAGGAGACGAAAGAAGAAGGCGTGGTCACCATGGAATACATTGTCTTAATGACGAGTCGCAGAGAGCTTTTTCCGAAGTTGACTTTGGATTTAAGACTTTCAAAGAAGTCACCATCGTCAGGTTCGCTTTCAACCATGAGCAGTGCAAATAGAACCGTGGATTTGCCAGAGAACGGAGAGACAGAGCAAGAAATAGGTATTGGCGAGGAAGTGTTAAAAAGGACCATACTATTTTAAAACGATATTGATTAACCTGAGTGAAAAAATTGGGCGAGTTTGAACGTGATCTTTGGATGAAAAATGTGTCAAAAAGTGGTGTAGAGCACAATGAGTGGCAAAAGAAGTTGGTACGCCATCCGTCAGAAGGCGGTCGCCAACCTAAAACCAACTCAAAATTTCATGCAGAAATCTTGTAATTTTTCTCTAATAAGTTACTTTAAAAAAAAACTCTTTCCTCCCAAACAATGTTGAAAGAAAGTCTTGAACGTTATCCTAGTATTAGGTGTGCGCGCAACAAACAAAAAACTATTTTAAGTGGCAACACAACTAAAACTCGCGTCTTATTCATTTTTTTTCTAGCATCACGTGTACGATTCAATCTACCCATGGGGAGTTCCCAAGGAATCCCAAACCTCCCCTCCCCTGGTGAGTTCCACAGGTCAGCCTCCTCACCCCACTCCCTGTACGCATTGGGTCACGAGGGTGGGTCGCAGATCTTCAACGTACCTTCGTCGCGCTCGGACGAAAAGATTGGTGACCACCACCGGGATGTGCTTCCGCCGTTTGCGCCAATTCCAGAGCATTATGAAGAAGAGTTACCCGAGAATGTTGCCCTGCGCGAATCTAAGCTCCATAAGGAAGCTTCTCTGCGTGGCCGTGACCATTTGGTGCATATAATCTGTCGGGCCCAGACCCACTGCAACCGAGACTTGTTATGGCATCGTTTGCTGGTTGGAGAGACTGAGGATGAAGAGAGAGACGGAGGGAAAAAGAGTAGGCGTAAGAGCGTCATGCGAAAATCCAGCTCAGAAACGAGTCTTAAACAGAGCTGGGCAAAGACTCTTGACTCGCTTAACCCCGGAGCAGATCAGGTACAGTCCATTCTGTTCATTTAGAATAGTTTCTATGAGTCCCCTTATACAGTTGGTAAGGGTTGGTGGAACAATGTTAGTATCTAATCAACTGCGCACCTACCCCTCCCCTAACCCAACAACAGTCAACTGATAACAAGGTACGGTTAATGTGGGGTTAGTGGAGGCGTAGTAGCGAAGTTTCTTAGATACTAACAATGATTCGGGTTTGTAAAGCGCAACTGGAAAACATTTTACGTAAAAAGTAATTTTGATGGTTATGCGGGACAGTACGTAAGTCTTGGTCGGCCCTACTCCCATTGCAGTGTCAATGCCTCATCAAGTAGGCATGTGACGAGAACAAAGAAAGTCGTTAGATGTGCGACGGGTGCGTGACAGCCTTGCGTGACAAATGAGCTAGTCAAAGTGACGTGAATAACAAAGGATTCATTTTTAAGCCCTTGACATCTTTTTTTTTTTTTTTAACATTTCATTGTACAATTCTTTGTTGCAGGTGTCACCGTCGCGCTTGACCTTTGAAGATTTTCAACAACTTTTATCTGTGGTTGGAGTCAAATCTTTGAGAGAAGAAGATCCACAACTTATTTCACTCTTGTCGATGAGAGCAACGTGGTTTCTAAGCCTTTTCCCGTGAGTGAGCGTTATAATTTTTTTACCCGTCTTTTATTTTGGGTGATACGTTGTCGAATTAGGAAACGAAACAATTTGGCGTTTAGGGCACTTAAAACGTGATAATTGATCGAGATGAAAAGAAAAAACAAAACAAAACAGAACAAGAAACCGAGAGCAACGAATTATCAACGAAAAAATATGCCACTGTTTGATGCAAAAAAAAAAAAATTATGTCGGAGAGATTTGAAGGCAGAGCCATTCTCGCAGCAAGGATCACCAGTGAATTCAAAATGGCTGTAATGCTTAGTTCCAATACACTTTTAACCTGCAGTGTAAACATCTTACTAAGGCAAATTGACTTTACAAGCTCGCGATTGTTTATTTGACCGGCCATGTTTGCTTTAAAGTTGGCATGGACGGTGGGGGGGAAAGAAAATACTGAGCACTCGTTCGCCAAAATTACGCCAGTTCTGGAGGCTAATGCGCTTTGGACTATTCTTGATTATTTAAATTTTTTTCTTTTCTACAGAGTTATTCGTGCAAAATTTCCAGAGGAGCATCGTTTATTCACGGACGAGAACAGTTCAGTTCACTGCCTGGCTGTTTTGAATCGTGATTATCCGGATATGTTTGTTCTGTTGTATGTGGATAAAAACAATGATAGTGCTGTGAGTATCGTAATATATAGTTTTAGCCAAGCCTTACTTTGGAGCTCGCATTTTTTCCCCCGCACGTCTCAAGGGCACAACGCCTTGCCCCGGCCAGGACTAGAACTCAGGTTGTCCGACTCGGAGCTCAGTGCACTGACCGCTGGACTACTGAACAAAGCCGTGGCGTTGGCGCGCCCGCGGTACACTTGACCACGCATGTTAAAAGTAGCACCTTGTACGGTCGTACGGTCGTACATCCAAATTTTTTCGGCTGGATGGGTTATTACTATTTTGTATAATTATGGGGCTACGCTCTGCGAGCTCCGCTATTAGTGGCTCCTCATGTTGTTATTTGTGTTGCGCACGAGTTTAACACATTTCAACCTGTTAGTTAGAATTTTGTTTCTTTGTTCATGGTAATGTTGATGTACGTGGTAATATCTGTCTATGAGAGAAAATCGCATACTACTATGAATGGCAAAAGTCTTGGCACGCTCTTCTAATTTTTGAATCGTTCTATAACTCTCCTCTATCTCTCCCTCCCCCTCCCCATTTCAATGTTGCCTGGTGCCAGTTTCGGTGTTAGAAAATGGTCACCACGAGCCAACATTGATTGGGAGGAAAGAAAGGACCTTCAAGAAAATTATTAGACATGAATAACAAGATTTATGTTTATCGTGTTGATTGAAAGGTTGTCGGCCACTTACTAAGGGAAGGCGTGCTATCTACTTTTGACAATCATTGTAGGTAAGACAACGGGAATTTCAAGGGATGGGTGGGTGTGAAGAGCAGTGTTTGACACCCATGTGGCCGAAACAGTGTATAACTACTTCGGATATCTTACATTTAAACTACGCTGATTAAGCTTTAATTTTCCACGCAGGATATTTATGTTGTCTTCCGTGAGGATTTGTCAGATGATAAGGAGATCTCATACAGATCACGTTTGCTCAGAAAGGAAGTCAGAAGTCACGTGTGCGGTGTGATAAACGCTATGTGCTTCCACATGTGGACAGGCTTACTTCCGGTGTGACAATGGTGCAAGTGAGCGGAAGTTCTGTAACAATTGCGAAGATGACAGCAATGGTGGTGCGCATTTTAGCAGTCATGTAATTTTCACTTTATTTTTTGTATGGTTTTGGCCTGTCAATGGATAGTCAACGAAAAGATGCTCGCTTGTAAGTTATGTTTAATTTATTTTTTTAAGTCTTCACTTGCGAGTTCATGTCGCTCAAAGAGATGCCTCAATAGCTTTTCAGTCCATCACAATTACGAAAAGGAGGTCTTAATGCGTCTAGTAGATCAGTAATGCTGGTGACTGTATGGAGGGACACAAAAGGGGAGGACGAAAGGTTGTTTTTCTTTTTGTATGTTCTTGGCTC